GAACTATTGAGATTAAATATAAAAAACTATGGTGCAGTACCAAGTTGAGTACAGCTGGGGGCAGTATTGGACCATTAAAGTTTCAACATTAGTATTTCACAAAACTACAAGTTGTACAGGTACCAAAATGCATAGCCATCATTTGGCACAGGGACTTTACATATATAAATTACAATGGCAGCTCTAGGACAAAATATGCAGGAGGAGAAGCATGGCAAAGTGGAGACGACTTGGATGGGAAACGAATCAATAGTGAGCATTGCACTGGCAATGACCACTGATTATTTGCATTTGGACCCGTGGGGACCAAGGCCAGGTCCCCATGGTTCACTTTGGTCCCCATGAGAACTGCTTTTTTTGGGAAGTGTCCTCACATCTTAGGTAGGAAAAACATGTCCACACACACACACACACCTGTGTGGACATGTTTGTTTGTGTATTTGTTTGTTGAGTTGTTTGTTTGTTTATTTGTTTGTTTTTCTGTCTGTCTGTTTATTTGTTTGTTTGTTTGTTTGTAGGACTGTAAACAGCGACAGTCTGGACCTGGAACAGGAAGTTGATCCTCTGAACGTGGACCACTTCTCCTGCACTCCTCTGGTAAAAGCACAGCTGACGTTGTCCTGGTTCTCAGCTGTGTTGTTGTTGTGTTGTTGATGTGTGTGTCTGTGTGTGGACCTGCCCACAGATGTGGGCCTGTGCTCTGGGCCACCACAGGGCAGCAGAGCTCCTGTACAGCTGGAACAGTCTGGCCCTGGGGATCCCTGACTCTCTGGGCCGCCTGCCTCTGGCCGTGGCACGGTCTCGAGGACACACCCGCCTGGCCACGGCGCTGGAGGAGCTGCACACGCAGAGCGCACACGCCTCCTCCGGGGACACGCCCCAGCCTGCGTCTCCTCTGTCCACCAGCCCGGACACAGGTGACACTCCTGCTGTGGTCACATGACTCCTGCTCTCTGATTGGCTGTAACCTCCTGTCCTCTGTGCTGCAGGTCTCAGCTCCTCCAGCAGCCTCCCCTCCCCCAGTGACCCCTCCTCCCCCTCTCCCAGCTCTGCCTACTCCAGTGGCCCCGCCCCCATGGACACCTCCCCTTCCTCTCCCTCCTCACCCTGGGGGGAGGAGCCCAGCCCGGCTGTAGTCACAGGTAACACAGGTGATGTTAGTGTTAATGGGTCTGACCTCTGACCCTGACTGGACTCTGAGCTCTTTGATCTGTGTCACAGGTCTGAACCCCACAGGCTCCTCCCTCTACCTGATGGAGTACCAGAACTCCTCCCCCTCCTACACACATGGCCACGCCTCAGGGGGGCGGAGACTGCACACTGAGGCGGAGTCAGCTCTGGAGGAGCAGCTGCTGAGATACAGCGAGAACACTGAGAACGAAGGCGAGGAGGAGGAGTACTTAGAGGAYGAGGTGCTGCAGGTACACACCTGTCGACAGGTCCTATCTTTACCTGCTGGAGTCAGCCATGATGTTCTGTAGCCTGGTTACCATGGTTACCCTCTCCTCCTCAGGTTGACATGGCGACGCTGGCGGAACAAATCATCGAGGCCACCCCGGAGCGTATCAAACAGGAGGACTTCTCCAGAGGGGTGGAGTCTCCTCTCAGGGAGAGGCGGGACAWCCCCGCCCTCCAGGACACCTGGCTGGCTGCTTACCTGGAGACTGTGGACTCCCACACAGACCCCCCACCCAGGTAAGACCAGGACCACCTGTTCTCTCAGGTACAGTCATATGAAAAAGTTAGGTCAGCCTTGTTAATATTCCTGATTTACCCTTATAAACCATTGTTTGTTTGGATAAAAAATATCAGTTAAATACGTCATATAGAGGACAAACACAGTGATATTAGAGAAGTGAAATAAAGTTTATATAATTTACAGAAAGTCTGCAATAATTAAACAAAATTAGACAGGTGCATTAATTTGGGCACCGTTTTCATTTTATTGATTTGAAAACCTTTAGAACTAATT